CAAAAGCCCGAGAGCCTTGCCAGAGAGTCCACACCCCCAGGGAAACTCCATTTTAACTGACTGGCTACTCACAGCAGATCACATCATAAAGGTGATCCCATTATATCAAATCTCATCATGGAAGTGATCACATCATCATAAGACTGCCAAACTACATCAAAACTGCCAAACCACTGAGAATCATGGCCCAGCCATATTGACACACAACCTTAATGACTACAATGACTATAATCAGGAAGCTGGAGATATTGAAACACTAAATTATATGTAATAATTCCTGCCACCAGAACCAGCCCTCTTACTCCCATTTAAAAGATTACTCCACCTTTGTCCACTAAGCCACCCTCCCCAGTAAAACCATTAGTCTCTCCATCGCCATCTGATGAGATTAATTCAACTGTATCTGAAGACCCTTTGTCTGAGATATTGCCTGAGGTGGCATCTGAGTCACTGCCTGGGACATTACCTTATAAGACATTGCTGAATATCCCCAGGACCCTCACCTACCACCCATTTTTGCTTCTAGACACATAACTAGGCTTAAGTTGGGACTTAAGCCCCAAAAGGTGAAGTACAAAGTGTGACCCAGGAGGAGGTAAGTTACACTCCAAAATAACTGCTTGACTTTTCTGATATGCACAAATAGAAACCTGGGGAATATGTTTGGGAATGGCTTTTAAGGGTGTGGGATAATGGTGCAAGGAACTAAACATGGATCAGTCTGAGTTTATTGATATGGGCCCACTAAGCACAGATTCTTCGTTCAATGTTTTAACTTGAGAGATTAGGAAAGGATCTAATAGTTTATTTGGTCGGGTCGCAGAAGCATGGATTATGTGGTGGCCTACACTAAATAAGTTGAAATACCAGAACCAGACCTGCCATGGTAAACTGTAGGAGAAGGTATAATAAGACTCAGGGAAACTAGCATGTTACAGTGGATTGATTAGGTTAGACCCACAGACCCACACCTGGAGCGTCCAGAGGACACACCTTTTACCGCAACGGTGAGGAATAAATTTGTGAAGGGAGACCCAGAATCCTTGAAGACTGCTGAGATTGCTATTTTACGTAAGTCAGATTTGACAGTGGGAACTGCCCTAACTGAAGTAAGACAACTAACTACAATGGGGCTGATTGGAACCCCGGAGTGGCAGGGGCCAAGGGTGACACTCAGTCAACAGAGACAAGGTGGGTGTGGTTACCGTAATGGACAGCAAACTCAAAGCAATAATCAGAACAGTCTGACTCGTGTGGACTTACGTATTGGCTACTTAGTCATGATGTCCCTAGGAGTGAAATAGATGGGAATTCTACTAAATATTTACTTGATCTGTACAAATGGAAGAATTCTAGATCCAATGAATGGCATTCTAACTCAAATCACCAGAATAGAGAATCACAGCACCTCAATCAATTCCCAGACTTGAGCGAGTTTAAAGACCCTACCCCTTGAATGGAAGGGAGGCCGAGTCCCCTTGAGGAAGGACCTCCCAACGCTGCCAAAAATGTATACTGTTAATCTTTTTCCAAGCCTTCCCCAAATGAATCTACAGGCCTTTTATAAGAGTGACTGTTCATTGGGAAAAAGGAAATAATCATAATTTTGGGGGATTACTGGATACTGGCTCTGAACTGACATTAATTCCAGGACACCTGAAACATCAGTGTGGCCCACCAGTCAGAGTGGGGCATATGGAGGTCAGGTTATTAATGGAGTCTTAGCTCAAGTTTGTCTCACAGTTGGTCCAGTGAGTCCCTGATCTCATCCTGTAGTGATCTCTCCAGTTCCAGAGTGCAAAATTGGAATAGATACACTCATCAACTGGCAGAACCCCCACACTGGATCCCTGACAAGTGGAATAAAGGCTATTATGGTAGGAAAAAACAAGTGGAAGCCATTAGAACTGCACCTTCCTAGGAAAACAGTAAAACAAAAGCAATACCTCATTCCTGGAGGGATTTCAGAGATTAATGCCACCATCAAGGACTTGAAGGATGCAGGGCTGGTGATTCCCACCACATCCCCATTCAACTTGCCAATTTGGCCAGTGCAAAAAACAGATGGAACTTGGAGAGTGACAGTGGATTATTGTAAAACTTAACTAGGTGGTGACTTCAATTGCAGCTGTTGTTCCAGAGGTAGTTTCATTACTTGAGCAAATTAATACATCTCCTGGTACCTGGTATGCAGCTATTGATCAACTAATGCCTTTTTCTCCATACCTGTTTTGAAGGACCACCAGAAGCAGTTTGCCTTCAGCACCTTCACTGTCCTACCTTAGAGTATATAAACTCTCCAGCTCTATGTCATAACTTAGTCTGCAGGGACCTTGGTCACCTTTCAATTTCAAAAGACTTCACACTGGTCCATTATTTTGATGACATTATGCAGACTGGACCTAGCAAAGAAGAAGTATCAGTGACTCTAGACTTATTGGTAAAACACACGTGTGCTAGAGGATGGGAAATTAATCCCACAAAAATTCAGGTGCCTTCAACCTCTGAAATTTCTAGGAGTTCAGTAATCTGGGGAATGTCAAGATAGTCCTTCTAAATTGAAGGATAAGTTGTTACAACTGGCCCCTCCTACAACTAAAATGAGGCACAATGCCTGGTGGGTCTCTTTGGATCAATAGGCAAAGAAGGAAGTTACCACACTGGCTGGTGTAATTGACCCTGACCACCAAGGGTAAATTGGATTGGTGTTGCATAATGGAGGTAAAAAAAAATATTATGCCTGGAATACAGGAGATCCTTTAGAGCGTCTCTTAGTACTACCATGCCCTGTGATTAAAGTCCACGGGAAACTACAGCAACCCAATTCCGACATGACTACTAATGGCCCATACCCTTCAGGAGTGAAGGTTTGGGTCACTCCATCAGACAAAGAACCACGACCACCTGAGGCTCTTGCTGAGGGTAAAGGGAATACAGAATGGGTGGTAGAAGAAGGTAGTGCTAAATACCAGTTATGACCACGTGGCAAGTTGCAAAAACAAGGACTGTAATTGTTATGAGTATTTCTTCCTTGTATGGGTGCATAAATATTTTTGTTTTATTCACTTATATAATGTAGGATGTAAACGAGGCTAGTGCATTTTCAGTTGTACGTATGTTAGTTGTATCATGTTAGGCGCAAGTATGGCTTTGTAATTGTCTTTATTTAGAGATTATGTATGGTTTAAGGAGATATGTGCAGGTGCCAAGCTGACAAGGGGTGGGCTGTGATGGTTAAGGTGGTGTGTCACCTTGGCTGGGCCATGATTCTCAGTGGCTTGACAGTTATGTAATGATGTAGTTTGGCAGTAGTAATGATGTAATTTGGGAGTTATATAATGATGAAGTCAATCTTCCCAGATGTGATCTGTTGTGATCAGCCTATCAGTTGTAAGGGGAGTTTCCTCAGGGGTATGGCCTGCATCCTATATGTATATGGATGTGCTACCAAAGCTCGCTCACTTGCTCTGGTTCCTGCACCCAGCTTGTCATCATCTGACCTCTGGTTCTTGGGACTTGAGTCAGTGTCCTGGCGTATTGTCTGACGATCTTGGGATTCGTTGGCCTCCTCAGCCTGTGAGCCAGTACCCTGCCATCTTATCTGCTAATCTTGGATTCTTTAGCCTCCACAGCCCATGAGCCAGCAGCCTGTCATCTGACCTGCTGATCTTAGGTTCATCAGCCCCTGCAGCTATGTGAATCAGGAGAAGCCTCCAGCCTAAAGCCAGACCCATGGACTTAGTACTTGCCAGCCTCCTCAATGGCATGAGCCATTTCCTTGAGATAAATGTCTCTCTCTTTCTCTCTCTCTCTATGTATATATATCTGTGTGTACTTTACAGGTTTTGCTTCTCTAGAGAACCCAGGCTAAGACACCATGCTTGCCAGCAACTATATTCCATGTGTTACTACTGAACAAGTGGGGGAAGAGAGGATTTGAATGGTAGCCTTCTTCTGCAGAAACTAAAAATTTGACACACAAATAAAGACACTGTGGTTGGGAACTGCAGACACTCCCATCAGAGCTGCAGTCCCTCAATTCCTCTCCTTGGCTGCAAGGGAAAATCTCCAGGGGGTGGACACTGGACCATCAAGGACTGTACAGAAAATGCCAAGAAGACAATGATGTAAGATGTGACATGGACACCATGCTGAAGTCCCCACAGGCAAGGGCCAACCATTACTTATGTATATGACAGTCCTGCTCTAACATACCTCTTTTTAGTTTAAGGTTGTAAAACTCCTCGTTTGGGTGACAGGTGCTTGGGATCACTATTATTTATTTACCAAACCCACAGGAGAGTCTGGAGGGGAGGGAAGAGATCTAGGTCTCAGGTCCAGACCTAACAGAAACTCTTGAGTAGTCACAGATGGATACAACCTCTCTGACCCTTGATTTCTATCAGTCACAAAATGGAGATAAGAACACTTAATTTGTAGACCTGTTGTGCAGATTAGAAGAAACACATTTCTAGAGCCTTTGGCAGAGTGTCATGAATATAGTAGGTGCTCAAAACATGTTCACTATTATCATGGCATATTCTCCTGTCCTGTAAGATAGTTATGCATATATAAATCTTATTTTTCAGCGTACAGTGCATTTTTCATCCTTGTATCTTCCTCTGTTTTCCTTCAGTACCTTAGTTCCTATAACATAACAGGGACTTAGCAATTATTTGTTGGTTGAATGAATGAATGCTTGAATGAATAACTGAATGAGTGATTCTCTGATGTAATGGAAAGAATACTAATTTAAGAAGTGGATGGTAAATTTCCATTAGCAACTTGGGGGCCCAAGTGAGAGGGAGTCCGGGCTCTCTAGGTGGTGCTGAGTGATGTATTGTAATCTGCTCACTCCAGATATATTTTCACTATAATGTATGTCTCAAGATTAAAGCCTAAATCATATTAGTCTCTGTATCGTCTACCCTGGCTCATAGTAGGCCCTCAGAAGCTGTTTTCTTAAGAGAGGCACATATAGGTAGAAAAGCTACTCATACCTTGACTCTGATGATGCTTGGGTTGTACTGCACCGCGTCTCCCCACTCCTGCATCAGTTCTGCCGTTGGCAGCTCCTTGTATGCCAGGGCGGTAATATGCTCACTTGCCCCTCCTCGTACGAGGACCACCAAATCATTCACCACAGTCTGTCTCTTGTTTCTATCTGAAATGGACATGGAGAGCTGGCATGTCATGGAGAGACCCACTGTAGTACCTTGGAATTTACTGCAACTCAACGAACAATGCTAACATAACATTCACTGAGCTCAGCCCTGCAGATGTGGGGTGGACAAACAGCATCCCTACCTCCAGGGGAGTCATGATGCAATGGTAAAATGGAAGGTCACCCAATCACACATAACACAAGTCAGGGAAGGGCAAAAAAAAGTGATGTTTATTTTGAGCATCTATAAGTTCCAGTCATTGAGTGAGTCTATGGAAGATTAATTGATCAATCAATCGACAGATATAGATAGACAGACAGACAGACAGACAGATGATAGAAAGGTATAATATTTAGTTTTATCCTGACAGTAATTCTCTGAGCTAGACGTTATTAGATCTACTTCACAAATGATGAAACTCATGAATGGAATTATAAGTCACTTGCCCAAGCCCATAAAGCTAGTAAGGTCAAAAAGCTAAATTTTAAACAAGGTCTGCCTAGTTTGAAAGCTACCACCCTTGGTCAAATAACTTTCACCTCACCTCCACTCTAGGGGTGGAGCGTGGTAGAGCCCCTGTGGCTGAAAACTCAGTTTATCTCCTCCACCCCAGTAACTGCACACCTTCGCCAGGCATGAGTCTCAGTTCTTTTTCTAGCCTTGTAGTCTTGGGAAAATCATCATACAGTGTGAATTTTTTTTATTTTTTCATTATCTACAAAGCAGATCCTCTGAATCTATGTAAAGAATAAATGGCTCAATAATAACTGAAAATAATTGACCTTTTACTGAGTATCTAAGGGTTGCACATGCATTAACTCACTTAATTTTCACTACAAAATAGGAACTATACAGACCTCACTTTACATATAAGAAATCTGAGGCACAAGATGTGAAGGAGCTTACCCAGACACCCCTGCCCAAGCTCTAAGCTATATCACTTCTTTGTATGTAATGACAAAGGTAGAGAAATTTATAAAGGCTGGACCTGGAAGGAGTAGATACTCACTAAACAGTGGCTTCCACAAAATGATTAGTATTTTGACTTCCTATGAGGCTGCCCAGTAATCTCCCAGTCATATCAGTGAGTCATATCCATTCTAATTGATCTATGTGCCCAATGCCAAAAGAGCCGGTATAAAGTTGTGACTCAGATCTGAGTCTGATATATCTGAGAATCATAAAAAAGTAAGTCTCATACACTGCTGGTAGATGTGTAAATTGGTACAACTATTTTAGAAAACTGTTTAGAATTATCTAGTCAAGTAGAAAAAGTACATACTCTGCATCACAGCAATTCTGCTCCTAGGTATAACCCTGAGAAAACACTTGCACATATGCACCAGATGAGTGTGTAAAAATGTTCATAGCAGCATCCATTATAATTGCTTGGAACAGGAAATAACCCAAATGTCCACCAACAGTAGAACAGCCAATAGTGGTATATTCATATAATAAAATACTATGCAGTGATGGAAATAAATTATGCTGTTGTTGTTGTGTTCCATCAAATCTATTCTGACTCACAGTGACCCTATATGACAGAGTAGAACTGCCCCATATGGTTTCTTACGCTGTAATTTTTACGGGAGCGGACTGTCAGGTCTTTTCTCCTATGGAGCTGCTGTTGGGTTCAAACCACTGACCTTTTGGTTAGCAGCCAAACACTTAGCCATTGCACCACAGGACTCTTTGAACTAACTATAGTTATACACAAAAACAGATAAATCTTCCAAACATGATGTTGAAAGAAAGAAACAATACTGAAAAGATTACATTCCATTCATACAAAATTCAAAAACAAGCAACACTAAACCAGACTGGCTAGTGATACAGATAGGCAGCAAAACATTAAAGGAAGAAAGAAAATGTTTAACACAAAAGTAAGGATAGTAGTTATCTCAAAAAAGGAGGGAGAAGTTGTGATCAGCAGGGATTTCTGGGGTGCTGGGTATTCTATTTAGTGACCTAATATGGGGTTTAATTTACCAGTCTTCTTCAAACAGTTCCTATGTTTAAGGCATTCTTTTCTAATATGATACATCTTGAAACGCAGCCCCACCAAAATGAACAAATAAAAAACAATACCAACAATAAGACAGTCACAGTGCAAGAAATTGTTGGTATTGTTTTATTTTGTTTGGTTTCAGCTGTGGAACTCTTTCTTCAAATATAATCTTAGGCACAAGCTTAATATACAGAGCAGAGAAATGCAGAGCTGTTTGTCTGAGGAGGGCTTAGAGAACTGGAGCCTGCTGCTCAGCCTCTCTTTCCTATTCCACTCCCTGTGTTGATTCCCAACTTGCTTGTATTGCTTCCAAGTTCCCTGCTTCCAGATACCTGACTATATACCCTGGCCTCAATTCTCACCTCAGATCTGGTCCCCTAGCCATTTGGGCTACGCTATATGCGAAAGCTGGACAATGAATAAGGAAGATCAAAGAAGAATTGATGCCTTTGAGTTATGATGTTGGTGAAGAATGTTGAATATACAATGGATTGCTAAAAGAATGAACAGATCTGTCTTGAAAGAAGTATAGCCAGAATGTTCCTTAGAAGTGAGGATAGCGAGACTTTGTCTCACATACTTTGGACATGTTATCAGGAGGGACCAGTCCCTGGAGAAGGGTATCATGCTTGGTAAAGTAGAGGCTCAGTGAAAAAGAGAAAGACCCTCAATGAGATAGATTGACACAGTGGCTGCAACAATGGGCTCAAGCATAACAATGATTGTGAGGATGGCGCAGGACTGGGCAGTGCTTTGTTCTGTTGCACACAGGGTCACTGTGAGTCAGAACCGACTTGACAGCACCTAACAACAACAACTTAAGATCTGTGGCGTTGTCATTCTAGTCTCCATGTCACCCATTATCCACTAGGGACTAGCCTCTTCACCTACCTGCCCCCCAACCTCTGTACCTCCATCTCTACCCTAGAATTCTACCTCTAGTCAGGCCAACTCCCAGACCTCAGAGTAGATTTCCATTGTTGGAATTTTTTTTTCCACCTAAAAAAACCGAACTTGATACTTCAGTCTTCAAGTTGCTATTCAAACGTTCCTTCCCCCAAGATGGTACTGGTTCTTATCACTGTCTCCTCATTGCTTCTTTGGCTGTTTGCCTACCTTACATGAGCACCACGAGGGTCGGAATTCTATCTAATTCACTTTCGTATGTCTAGCACATAGTAGGAGCTTCGTACATTTTTGTTGGATGAATTATTATTATTTTAATTGAAATGCCTCGGAATACAGAGTCTTTAGCTTAAAGAAAGACTGAGACAGGTAGGAGATAGGGAGGGATAGATTGTAAACACAGATATCCCATTCCCCTGTCACTCACCTTCTATTTCATTCAGAATGGCTTTGCACCGTTCCACGGAGACACCCACCTTGACAGACACCGCTTTGATTGGCACACGCAGTTTAAAACCATGTCTGGCACACTCCTGGACATCGTTAAGAGAGTAATCTGAAGGAAGCAAGGAAACAGGCCTGTGACCTAAAAGGTAATTCACCCTTTCCCTGTGATGGATTGGAGCCCTGGTGGTGCAGTGGTTAAGCACTCGGCTGACAATCAAAAGGTAGGTGGTTCCAACCTACCAGCTGCTCTGTGCAAGAAAGAGGTGGAAATCTGCTTCCGTAAAGATTATAGCCTTGGAAACCCTATGGGGCAGTTCTGCTCTGTCCTTATAGGGTCACTATGAGTCAGAATGAACTAGATAGCAATGGGTTTTTGTTTTTCAGTGGGTGATAGATTCCAGAGGCCTAGCCCTTCCTGGCTGCCACGGGGCCTCACAGGGACTCGGGTTCAAATAAATGTGTTGCCAGTCTCACTTATTGTAGGCAGCTGTGATGGTTAATTTTATGTGTTAACTTGGCTAGGCTAGAGTGCCCAGTTGTTTGGTCAAACACGAGTCTAATTGCTGTTATGAAGTAGTTAATGAAATCAGTCACCATCTAGTCCATTCGGACTCCGGGAGACCCCATATATGTCAGAGTAGAACAGTGCTCCATAAGGTTTTTAGCAGCTCATATTTTTTTGGAAGTAGATTGCCAGACTTTGTTGCAAGGTGTTAACCATTTGCACCACCCAGGGGCTCCTATGAAGTATTAACATGTGATTGAATCAGTTGGCCTTCAGTCAAGTGGAAATCCTGGTGGTGCAGTGGTTAAGAGCCATGGCTGCTAGCCCAAAGGTTGGCAGTTCAAATCCACCAGGTGCTCCTTGGAAACCCTTTGGGGGAGTTCACCTCTGTCCTATAGTGTCGCTATGAGTCAGAATCGACTCAATGGCAAGCGGTTTGGTTTCGGTTTTTACATAAAGCAGATTGCCTTCCATAATGTGGGTAAGCCTCAGTCAACCAGTTGAAGGCCTTAAGAACAAAGAAGGAGTTTCCCTAGCATTTATTCTGCCTCCAGACTATAAATAGACATTTTTCCAGAACTTCCTTACTCTTCACTCTTTCCATCACTTGACCTACAGATTTTGGAACCCAACCCTGAAGGAGTCTCCAGCCTGTTGCCTACAGATTTTGGACTTGCCAGCACCTGACCATTGTGTGAGCCAATGTCTTAAAATCAATCAATCTCAATCTCTCTCTCTGTACAGATTTTGTTTGTGCATATTTGTATGTATGTATGCATGTATGTATGTATGTATGTATCTGTCTGTCTATCTATGTATCTATCACTAGTTCTGTTTCTCTAGAAAAACCTGAGACAGCAACTACTGGCATCAGGGCAGACACCTCATATGAGATTGGTGTCAGTCTTCCTCTTCAGCCCCCTCTCCGAGGGTTTTTGCTACCTTCCAAATAGGACATGTGCCCAGAGTCATTTTCTATAAATTTGATTCCTTATCAGTCCCTAGAGATAGATCAGTGAGTACAGAGGCTGCTGAAATACCTTTCCTCTGACTCAGCCCCTTTAATCTTTCATGTAGTAGAAAGAGCTTGTTAATTGATTGATTGAGGTGGTTGTTGTCAGCCGATGTCAAGTTGATGCCAACTCATGGCGACCCTATGTGTGCAGAGTAGAACTACTCCATAGGGTTTTCAATGGCTGTGACCTTTCAGAAACAGATCATCAGGCCTGTCTTCCAAGGTGCCTCTCGGTGGGTTTCAGCTAGCAGTGGAGCGCTTAACAGTGTGCACCACCCAGGGACTCCTTGATTAATCGAGGCAATGCATATAACGTGTCTGGAATAGTGTCTGGCAAAAAGGAGGGGATTAATACATATTAATTTCCCTTATTTCTTCAGTTTTAGACCATTTCCACTTCCTCCCTCCCTAATTCTCCCTGAGGCATCCTTCGCTCCTGTTCTTGCTGAAATGTCAGCTGTGACTTGTGAGCATCTTTCAGTAGCACTTTGAGGCCAGTGCAGGCAGAGAAGAGCAACTTGAGTGCTGCTGTTGTCTTGCAAAATTGGCATAGATCAGTTTTTCCCAAAGTATATTCCTTGAAACGCTAATCCTCGAAGATTTTAGCAGGTTATTACAAGAGAAAGGGCTTCTGTGGTCAAATGAAGGGGCCCTGGTGGTGCAAACAGTTAAGCCCTCAGCTGCTGAGAAGCCGCCTGCTTGAACCCACCCAGTGGCTCTGCAGGAAAAAGACCTGGCCATCTGCTTTTGTAAAGACTACAGCCATGAAAACCCCATGTGACAAATGCTCGATCAAAAAGGGTGAAGAAGTCATTTTACTGTAGTCACTTTAGGAAACTCCAAGAGTGGGATATCATGTAATGTTTCCCCAACTTCTTTGACCACAGAGCCTTTTTTGTAGGGAATAGTTTGAGTAACTAGATGAAGCATGTTTGAAATATTCGTATTCCTGATCTTGGCAAGACTGAAGTCACGCTGACATACATTTCCATTACACACCATGTGTTTCCTTGCAAGGTCCCTGGGTGGCACACACAGTTTGCACTTGACTACTCACCTACAGGTTGGAAGTTTGAACCTACCCAACGTCACTGCACAAGACAGGCCTGGCAATCTGGTTCCGTAAAAGATTAGAGCCAAGAAAATCCTACTGAACAGTTTTTCTCAGTAACACATGGGGCTGTCATGAGTCAGAATCGACTTGACAACAATGGGTTTGGTTTTTTGGTTTCTGTTTCCCTTGCAAGTGTACTTGAAACCAAGCCCTGGCTCTGCCTCTGAAAAACCGTGTGATCCAGCGAAGTTCACCTAACCCTACAAACACTGTCTTATAGGAAAGAATAAAAAACCAAAACCAAACCTGTTGCTGTCCAGTCGATTCCAACTCAGAGCAACCCTACAGGATAGAGTAGAACTGCCCCACGGAGTTTCCTAGACTGAAATCTGAACAGGATCACATCACCTGGTTTTTCCTCCTGAGGAGTCACTGGTGGATTTGAACTGCTGACCTTTCAGTTAGCAGTCAAGCACTTGACCACTGCGCCACTAGCCCTCCTTGTAGGAAAGAATATCAGATTGGAAAGCAGGAATCATACCTTCCACCTGTAGTGGATTATAACTGGAAAGATCTGGCCATGAAATTGTTTGATTTTACTGTTAGGAAATATCACTATGTTTGCTGTGTGGAGGATAGATTATAGGGGAGGAGTGGAAATTGAATAGTAGTTAGGAAGCTATTGAAATAATCTGGAGTCTTGCTAATTACAGTGTGGTCTGTAGACCACAGCATCAGCATTACCACAAAGCTTGTTAGAAATGCAGAATCTCGGGTCTCATCCCAAGCATACTGAATCAGAATCTACCTCTTAACAAGATTCTCAGGCAATGTGCATGCACATTAAAGTTTGAGAAGCACTGCTCTCAGGGTAAGTCTAAGGTAGTAGCAGTAAAGACGGAGAGAAAACATAATTTGAAGATAGAGCTGGTGGGACTTGCTGATAGACTGGAAGGAAAGAAAAATAATCAAAGTTGATTCCTAGGTTTTTGATTTGAGCCACTGGTTGAATGGTAGGACCATTTCTGAGGTGTAGATGACTATGGAAGAAACATTTGGGAAGAATAGTCCCGTTTTCTCTTTAGGGCATATTGAGTTTGTGATGGTTGTTAGACACTCAAATGGAGGTATCAAGGAGGCATTTCAACATGAGCTCTTGAGTGCAGGAAAGAGATTCAGGTCTGCTATGGATTGAATTGTGTCCCTCAAAAATGTATGTTGTAAATCCTGACCCCTTTACCTTTTGATGTAATCCCATTCGGGAACAGAGTTTTCTTTGTTGTGTTAATGAGGCTATATCAGTGTAGGGCATGTCTTAAAGCTAACCACTTTTGAGATATATAAAGAGCAGATTAGGTACAGAAGCAAGTGAGTACAAATGAGGGAAATATGGAAGCCATACGGAGGTCATCAAGGAATAGAGGAGCACCAAGAGTAGAGAAACTGAGACAAGGACTCCCCCCTGGAGTGGACACAGAGAGAGCCTTCCTCTAGAGCCAAGGTCCTGAATTGAGACTTCTAGCCTCTAAACTGTGAGAAAATAAATCTCTGTTCCTTAAAGCCACCCACTTGTGGTATTTCTGTTATAGCAGCACTAAAAAATGAAAACAAGGATGGAAGTATAGATTAGGAGTTATCTACATGTGGAAGGTATCTAAAGCCATGAGATTAGATGAATTCTTCTAGACAGAGAGAGGAGTTGTAGAAAAGAGGACACAACCCAGACAGAGGGTCAGGTCAAGAAAGAAGGAGGAATCTGCAAATGACACTATGAAGTTGTAGCTAGGGGGTAGAAGGAAAACTAGGACAACCTAGGATTCTTCCCCTCCAACTAACAGAAGTCTCTCCCATCACCTCATAGTTTGCATGTGCCCCGCCAGGAAAACCAAAGTCCCCTGAGAAGTGTACCTGCTCTCTCCATGGCCTCCTTGTTCATAACGAGTGTGTATTCATAAGTGCCCCCGAGCACAGCCTCTGTGATGTAATGGGTCCCGTAATCACGGAAAAGATCTCTGTATTCCCCATAGCTGTACTCCAGGGGCAGCCGCTTGACTCTCTGAAGGAATTCGTAATGGAGCATGAGGCCTCTGGGCTTCAGCTTGTAATGTGCAACTTCAAGGTCAGAGCGCGCGTGCAGAAATGTGCTTTTCTAAATGAAATACCAACATGGGAAAACCAGATGTTTAAAGTTAGGAATCTGGAACGAGAAGATGAACTTTACAAATACCATTTGATGTTCCTGGCCTGGGGTCATCACTTTTATGATTCCTGTAGGATACATAGGGAAGGGGGGTCTCTTTGACAAGCTTTCATTTCTCATAAATATTCCAATGTCCTTTTCAGCTTGGAAGAGTTTGCTCTTAACTCACCTCCATACCGTAGCAAATAAGGTATATGAAGTGTAACTGGAAACAGACCTGGCAGAGGGTAGTGGAAGAGCACGACGTTGCTCTAATGAGATGCCACCAAGGAGTCATTTGTCTAGGGTTTGCTAATCTACAAAGGTAACCTCTGCTTGTGCATATTAAACACCATGAAGAAAAGCCACTCAAGAAAGCATACAAGTAGTGCTTTAGGAAGGCTAGCTGTTATAATGTATGGTGGGAGTCAGCAAACTACAGCCTGCAGAGCAGATCCAGGGCCTGTTTTTGTAAAAAAAAAAAAAAGTTATTGAAACACTGCCATATTTATTCCTTTACTTGTTGTCCATAGCTGCTTTCATATTAAAATGGCAGAGTTAAGTAGTTACAAGGGAGACCTCAAGGTCCTGCAAAGCCTAAAATATTTACTATTTACTCCTAATTAATATTTACAGAAAAAGTCTGGTGACTCCTGGTGTCTGACAGAATGAAAGATGATGATGCTAGATGAAGTATTCAGGAAATAATCATATAGCCAGAGGTCCCGGGGTAATGCAAATGGTTAACGTGTTCGGCCGCTAACTGAAAGTTTGGAAATTCGAGTCCATCCCAAGACACTTTGGAAGAAAATCTGGGCATTGAAAACCCTATAGAGCACATGTTGACTCTTACACAACATGGAGCCACTATGAGTCAGAAGTGACTCAAGAGCACCACCACCACCAGTCGCTGTCAAGTCAATTCCGACTCATGGAGACCCCATGTGTGTCAGAGTAGAACTGTGCTCCAGAGGGTTACCAATGGCTAATTTTTTAGAAGGCGATCACCAGGCCTTTCTTCCAGTGCACCTCTGGGTGGACTCAAACTTCCAACTTTTCAATTAGCAGTTGAGTGTGTTAAGTGTTTGTACCACCCAAGGACTCTAACTGGTAGGTATTAATTTAACCTGATGTGATAGGTTCCTTTACCAGCATACAGGCAAAGAAAAAGGAGAGAGGGTAGAATATATCTCACAGATATATTCTACCCCAATCCTAAAACTCTCAGCCAGCCTCACTGGTCACTTGGCTGGAAGTCAATAAGCCATGCCAGCTCGAGTTGTGACAGCTACCAAGGCCTGCTCACTTTGTCCCCTGCTTTGCTCTCACCCCATTCTAGTCCTGCCCTCAGTGAGTCATGACTCTTTTCCTTCTCTCTACCCTTCCTACTTAAGCAGTAACCAGGTTCTCTGTTTGTTATATTTCTAAATATTTCAGGTCCCATCTCCTCTGGCTTGGGTTGTTATAAAAGCTTCCCCAATGATTCCCCTTCTTTCTCTAGCCTGCTTTCAACGCTCCTATCAGATATGACTTCCTAAAACTCTACTAGTATTATGATAAAGTGCCTCTGGACACATAATAATACCCCTCATTGGCTCTCTATTACCTCCAGAATAAAATCATCTCCCTTACTTTGAATATAAGGCCTTCATAATCTGTCCCCCAGTAAACTCTCTGGCTTCAGCTTCTACAACCTTGAGTTTTTCCACCCCGTACCTTAAAATTTTCTACCACCCACCCCATATATCAGCATTAATTTAATTTCCCACTGTTCCCCAAACCTGCCATTCTTTTTCATGATGATTTTCCACATACTATTCCTTCTGCCTGAAACGCTTTTCCTGCTCTTTTCTGCCTGACACATACCTACTTATCTTTTAAATCCCTGCTCAATTGTTGCTTCCTAGTTAATTGTCGTTGTTAACTGCCATTGAGTCGGCCTCCAACTCATGGCGGGTGACCCCACGCACAACAGAACAAAACGTTCCCTGGTCCTGCACCATCCCATTGATCGGCTGAGGAATGAATCATTGTGATCTATAGGATTTTTGTTGACTAATTTTCAGAAGTAGATAACCAAGCCTTTCTTCCTAGTCCATCTTAGTCTAGAAGCGTAACTGAAACCTGTTCAGCATCATAGCAACACTCAAGCCTCCACTGATAGATTAGTGGTGACTATGCTTGAAGAGCATTGGCTGGGAAACGAACCTGGGTGTCTCATGGAAGGCAAGAATTCTTCCACTGAACCACCGATGTCCCTATTCCTATTCGATACCATCCTTGATTTCCCCAGGCACACATTCTCTTCTCTAGGATTGCACTACACTTTACTTATATTTCCTTTATAGTGTATACACCCATGCTGTGTTATAACCAATGTAAAAAAAATCAACAGCAAGTTATCTGCTCTCATGTTTACATCTCCTACTAGACTGTAAGCTTAAAGGCAAAAAATCATGTTTATTTGTCTTTAGATCCCAAGTCTCTAGTGTACTGCCTAGCACAACATAAGCACCCTACAACTATCTATTTGAACCAGGGAGGTGGGAAGGGAGGGAGAGAGTGGGAGAAACAGAAGGAGTAAATGGATGGCACTCTTTGCTCTGCTTCTCGTTAGTTCTATCCTACATCACTGTATTTCAGTCTTGAGCACCTAGTAAGTGCCATTATGAGTCTAGAGCTGAAAGAAACAGCCTCTGCCCTGAAGGAGCTCATGGCCTAGAAAATAAAGAAAGATCAGCAAAGACAATTACTATCTAATTATTTACTACCCATCTCCTGCTGGTTAATATTTAGGCAGTAGAGACCTGTCTGAGCCTTCATCATTCTTTTTTCTCATATGAATCACTGTAGATTTCAGTCTTGTCCTCCTCAAAGCCCCTTCGGATTAATTTTCCGTCATATCACACCATACTGAAAACTCTCAGTGGCTAGAGAACAAAATATACTTTCTTCACCCAGGAACTCAAGACTCCTCAGATATGCCTGTCACCTGCTTCTCCAACATCATATCCACTACTTCCCACTCCAGTTACTCCTCTCCCACCCAACCAAGAGGTTTGACCTTTACCTTGTAGGCAATAGGCACCAGATGATATGATTAGATTAGTATTGTGGACCATGGCAGCGGATGGATTTAGAGGGGGAAGTTGGGAGACAGGGAGACTGTTTAGAAGAGCAAAGCAAGAGTAAAAGAGCCTGGGTTAGTTAAAAATGTACGAGAAGTTAGATTCAAAAATATTGGAGGGTACTAACTGAAGGATTTGGTCACCAACAGATGCAGAAATGAAGTAGAAGAGCGAGCCAAATATAATTCTGTGGTTCTTAGCTTGGAAAAGAAGAAGGAAAAAATGTTATTAACGCAGAAGATGTAAGAGGAAGGACTTGCTTTGGAGTCAGCAAGGCATCCAGGTGATGATGCTCGGAAGAGTGAGCAGTGCAGGAGTAGAGCTCGAGAGAAAGTTAGAATCAGTGATGAAGGTTCGTGGCTCATGCCTGTAGAGGTGGGAGGTGAGTGGAAGAGGTCACCCAGGCCCAGCTGTAGTGTAAGAAGGAAGAGTGCCCCAAACTAAATATTTAAAGAACAGCTGGGGATTAGAAAGCTATAATCTTAAGCTTAATGAAAAACAAAGGAAAACGGCTTATTAGAAAATGAGAGAAAGTAATTATAGAAGGCCATAGACACTCGGCTTCTCTAAAAACTACGTTAACATAAGATTGAGCTATTTTTTGTAAAAGACTTTCAAGACAACAGAAACATAATGGGTTGTTAGTAGTCATGTGGAATATAGTCACGTTTAGGAATGGAATTTCAAATGAATAAAAAAAAAAAATGCCCAAACTCATTGCCCTAGAGTCAAGTCTGACTCATAGTGACACTGTAAGACAGAGTAGAACTGCCCCCGTAGGGTTTTCAAGGCTATAAATCTTTATGGAAGCAGATTGCCACATCTTTCTCCCTTGGAGCAGCTGGTAGGTTGGAACCGCCAAACTTTCAGTTAGCAGCCGAGTGCTTTAACGACTGCGCCACCAGGATACATGTCAATATAAAAGCAACTAAAGAATACTTACTGTGTGAGTGAATTGTTTGATTCTGCTAATAAAGTGGTGGTAATTAAAACTTCTGGAGTCATAGCCGAGTTCAAATAATGAAAGTATTTTAAAACCAAAGCTGAAATGAGACATGGCAGCTGTTCTCTCTGTCATATTATGCTCGAAATCTGCGTATGATTCATATTCTGTCAGCACAAATTCGTATTTGCCTTGGGTCTAAAGGAATAAAAAAGAAAATGTTTCTTATTTCATGTGACTCACGTCAGTTCAGCACAAGTCAGCATACTTATACTCTTGCACTCTTACTATGTGCCTGTCACTGGTCTAGGTGTTCTGCATGCAGGTAAATAAGGTCCAGTTTGGTCCCCTTACTCAGGAGCTCCCTCTTTATCTAGCAGAAGGAAAAAACAGTTGTCGTCGAATCAATTTTGACTCATGGCGACCCCATGTGTGTCAGAGTAGAACTGTACTCCATAGGGTTTTCAATGGCTGACTTTTCAGAAGTAGTCTGATAGGACTTTCTTCTGAGGCACCTCTAGGTAGCCTAGAACCTTCAACCTTTCTGTTAGCAGCTGAGCGCGTTAACCATTTGCACCACCCAGGGACGCTAATCCAGAGACACATATATTCAATAGTGTTGGGTTTAGACTCAGATGATGACTGATTTGGCTTTTAACTGGTAGAGGTGCAGGAGAACATTATAGGCTGTGAGCTCAGCTTAAGCAAAGGCATGGAGGTGGGACAGGACGGGATGGATTCCAGTAGCCACAAGGATTCAAGGGTGGTTGAATCAGAGGATGAGAGAGTGAGGGGAAGAGAGATGTATTGCAGGGGAATGTACTGGCATCAAAATGTTGAGGCTCTTGAATTCCTCGCTCTGAAGTATGGACTGAAACCTGTAGACAAAGATGAGCCAAGAGAGGAAGTAGCTGAGCCCTAGGAAGATCACTCTAGGGTAGGGTGGTAGTTGGACTGCAGGTGATGAATTCAGGGTCAGAGAGACAGGTCAATGAACAGGCTGTAAAGGGAGTGCAGGTCAAGAGCAGTGGCAGTGGTGATGAAGTGACTGACAGTTCTTAGAACTTAGAAGAGTGGTTTGCTGGAAAATCAGTGTTCTTTGTCCTGTGCACCAGGGAAGAATGCACTGCCCCAGTGATGCTGGAGAGACCAGTCTGAACCATCTCCACCCCCACTCCCATTGCCTTCTGGATGCCTGTAATCCACATATGAAGGTACAGCTCCTCAGCCGCCATGGAAGGGAAGCAGAGGGATCAGAGCATGGTCTAGAGAAGGCTCCCTGAAGTTGGATAATCTTGGGTAATTGACTTAACCTGTCTATGCCTCACTTTCTTCATGTGTAAAATGGAGAAGACAACGTTTTCTATCATTAGGCTTGGTCTGACAACTGAGTTTATACAGGAATACAGGCACTGGTGCAGTGCTTGGCACAGGGTTGTTGGGTGCCATCGAGTCTATTCTGACTCACAATGCCCCGTGTGTACAGAGTGGAAGTGCCTCCATATGGTCTTGGCTGTAATCTTTGTGAGAGCAGATCGCCAGGTCTTTCTCCTACAGAGTCACTGGTTAGGTTCAAATTGCCAATCTTTTAGTAAGCAGTCACGTGCTTAACTGTTGCATCACCAGGGCTCCTTTGGCACAAGGTAAGTGCTCAAATATTATTGGCTGTGGAAAGAGGAGACTTAAGATATATATCCTGCCTGGGTTAGGAGCTGTTTTAACCTGGATGATGAATGGCTGCTCTAAGACCTCCCTTGAAAGGAGGGGCTGCAAGGATGGCACTGGGCACATGGTAGAAGCATGAGAGTGCAAGGGATCTTTGTCTGGCCAACAACTAGGTTTGGCCCTGAGCTAATATTTCCATTTCGGCCAGTGAGTGTGTGTTGGGTTGTGAGGGGGAGTTATTAGCCTAACCTTCAGAACTATGGAATTTTAGGAGTGGACACTGCCATCAAGACCCTCTAGTCTAACTTCCTCATTTTACAGATGGGGAAACTGAGGCTCAAGTGGAAAAGAAACTTAGTCTAACTGTGACCTGTGGCAGAGCCAGGCCTTGACCCAAGCGTCTGGATTTTGCGCTCTTCCCATCGGATCTCAAGCATGTGCGTTGTACAGTAATGGAGTCTACTCTAAACTCCACTCTCGGTGAGATTTGTTTTGAAGCGGATATATTAGTCATAACACAGGTTGACACTGAGGGAGCATTTTATAGTTTAAAATGCTAATAACAATGCCTAGTTCTATTAGGCAAGAACTTGGTAGTAATAATAACGATACAACAATAACAACAACAAGTTAACATCTCTTGAGAACTTACTGGGTTCTGTGCTAAGCACTTCCACATTATTATCTCATTAAACCTCACCCTGCAGAGTAGAATCTTCATAATTCCCAATTTAAAGATAAAGAGACAGAGGCTGAGAACATTAAGATTATACAGATGGTAAATGGCAGATGGCACTGAGTCTGTGTGACCCAAATCCTAAGCTATACTTTTACCCCCATGGTAGCTATTGACATTATTATTACTACTATTGTTACTATTACTATTACTACAACTACAATTACTAGTATACTATACTACCACTGTTAGTATATATAGCATTTCATCCTTAACACAATGTCTTGAGGAAGCAACCGCCCATTTTACACATGAAGAAACTGAAGCTCAAAGAGGAAAAGTGATACATCCAAGGTCATATAGCTCGCAGGATACAGGGCCTGGCCTTGAATTCACATTAGCTGACTGCTTGCCCAGTGCTCCCTCCGCTATCCTGCAGTTGCTTCCTGGCTGGTACTCACCTTTGGGGTGTAGCTTTCCACATTATGTGGCTTCCTAAACCGTGTGTTGAGGATGTAATGGGGAGAGCATCCACCAGCGTAATACCTGTGATCTAGAACCGGGCCCTCCAAACTGTTTGTAAATAAATTTAACCTGCAGGGAAGGCACAGAGAAAGTGAAGAGGTTAGTTTTGCAGGGCTGCATAATCTCAGATGGCAGACCCTACAGAAAGAAACCAAAACTCCTTGGCACAGCATTCAAGGCACTCAGTATCTGGTCCCAAATGAAGCTTTCCTGCTTCGGTTCTGGTCACCTCCAATTACAATCAGATACCCTAGTTCCTAGCCATTTGGAGAAGCTTGTTTTTCCTTGAATCTGCTTTGCTCCTTCTCCTACGTGTAAGCACTGTTCCCTGTGCCCAGAATGCCCTTCCAACTCTCCATTGTTTTATCGCCTCCTTGTCTTTCAAGATTGAGCCTTCACTGTTGTGGGAAGCTGTGGGAAGTCTTCACTGACATCTCTCATACCTAAAACCCCACCCACACGGGATTAGAGGAGCTCTAACATCCTGGGCTTACCCTTCATGTATTCATTGCACTATACTATTACGAGAGTGGAATAACATGCCTAGGTTCAAATCCCTATTCTGCCAATTACTAGCTATGTGACCTTGGGCAAACCAGTTAACCTCTCTGTGCCTCAGTCTCCTCATGTGTAAAATGAGTACTATGAAAATACCTACCTCACTGGGTTGTTGTGAGGATCGCATGTGTCAATATTTGTTAAGCGATTAAAACACTGCTTAGTTTGTGAGCAGTTGCTGTCAATTCCGACTCAGAGCGACCCTATAGGACAGCGTAGAACTGCCCCATAGGGTTTCCAAGGAACGGCTGGTGGATTTGAATTGCTGACTTTTTTGGTTAGCAGCCATAGCTCGCCATAGCTTTTAACCACTACGCCACCACATTTGTTATTATTTATGTGTTTGTTGCCCTTACTAGACTGTGTGCCACTTGAGGGTGGTGATTTTCTTCTCAATTTCTGTGCACCTCCCATCACAAGATATATGCAAAATAATGACTGCTTACTGAGGGTCTAAGTGATGATAGACACTATAGCGGGTGCATTCCATGCCTCATCTCATTTAATGCCCCTGCAACCCTCGGCTGCAGTTATCACTACATCCCTGGAGAGGAGGAAAATTCAGCTGTTACCTAAACGTTCTCATTTCCTTCTGAGGTACCACTCCATTCTTGACCAGCTCTGATTACAGCAAGTTCTTTGTGTACTGAATGGAGTTCTCTTCTCCTTTCAGCTTCTACCCATTAGCCTTGGTTCTATTCCTAACCAGGATTGTCTTAGGCCTTCTTTCCCATGACAGATTTTCATCTATCATAATATACATTTATTTGTTTTATTTAACAAATATAGCATAGTTCTTACTGTGTGGAGGTACTGCCCTAAGCAATTTATGCATATAAGTTCATTTAATCCTCTAGCAACCTTATGAGGAGTCCCTGAGTGATGCAAATGGTTAAGCGCTCCACTACTAACCTAAGTGTTGGTGGTTCAAATCCACCCAGAGGCACCTTAGAAGACAAGCCTGATGATCTACTTCCAAAAGGTCACAGCTTTCAAAACCCTATGGTACAGCTCTACTCTGCAGGCATAGGGTTGCTATGGGTTGGAATTCATTCAACAGTAACTGGTGGTACCAGTAAGCAAGCTTCACAAAAAAAAAAAAAAAAAAATTGCCTCGAGTAGATTCTGATTCATAGCGACCCTATAGGACAGAGTAAAACTGCCCCATAGGGTTTCCAAGGAGCAGCTGGTGGATTTGAACTGCCAACCTTTTAGTTAGCAGCCAAGCTCTTAACCACTATACCACCCGGGCTCCAAGCAACCTTAGGAGACAGCCCCATTTTACAAAAGAGGAAACTGAGGCACAGGGAGGTCAATGGATTTGTCCATGGCCTCACTGCTAGCAGCAATTAGTGGAGTCAGAATTCAATGTCTGGTGGTCTGGTTCCAGAGTCTGCATTCTTCTCACCACACAAACTGCCTCTCACTTACTAGTTTACCACAGAACTCCGAAACAAAGGTATTATTGGTTGTCTTCTCCAGGTGACGAAACTAAAGCTCCACATAGGTATGTACCTCACCTGAGGTCTCCTGGCACGTGAGTTGCTCCTTCTAACCCTGTGTACAGTTTCCATCCAGCTGGACTCTACTACTTGGTTTGACCCTCTGCTCTCTCGCCTTCTAGTTGAGGGACCGCTGGAAACTCACTTAACTTTTCTGGGCCTCAGTTTCTTCCTCTGGGAGGTAGTATTACAATAATTATCATATGAGGTGTTCCTAAAAGGAGGCCCCACATGAAGCTTCTCTCTTTAATGACAGCTTTTAAGGATTAAGATACGCTTTTTGTTTAGGAAGAAGATGAATTCCATTCAGGGTCATTGTTCCTCTCCCCATACAGAATCACATACACTGGTTTCTTAAAACTATGAGGGAAAGGTCTCACTCCTGGAGTCTGAGAAGCTGCAGCATTTGGCAGAAAAATAGGATGGAGGTGGCAGGACCTGGAGTCAGAGGAGGTGGCCCTTTTGACCTCGGAAGAGTCACCTTGCTTCTCTGACCTCGCCAGAGGATCAGACCAACTCAGAGATCCTCAGAAGCTTGAAACACAGATTGATTCCAGAGCCTTCCTGGAAATCCATTCCTTCATTAACCATTTATGAGCTTCTCTTCCAGGCCAGGCCCTATGCTGGCCTAGGGATATAGAAAAATAAACCTACTCCCAAGTTTTCAACAGGATATAAACCATAATGCTTAGGAAGCACCTAACACAGTCACATAACCAGTTGCTGTCTAGTCGTCACTGACCCATGATGATCCCGTGTGTGTCAGAGCAGAACTGTACCCCACAGGCTTTTCAGTGGCTGATTTTTCAGAAGTAGATCACCAGGTCTTCCTTACAAGATGCCTTTGGGTGAACCCACACTGCCCACCTTTCATTAGCAGCCAAGTGTGGTAACCATTTCAACCAACACAGTCACATAACAAAAAAACAAGCTATTGTTGTTGAGTTGATTCCGACTCATATCAAGTGTTAAATTAATGTTCAACCCCAGCTATCCTGTAGCAGCCCATTGGTCTCTGTACTAGCTCTGTCCGTAGTGTCCCTACATCGCCCTCCTATGTGGTCCATGTTTGTCCACTGGATGTGCTCCCACAGCTCATCTGGACTGTCCTCGAGAGCATCCAGACGCATTCACTTACATGCTATTCCTTTTTCAGAAAGGAAAGAGAGGAGTTCTGTTTTTATCAGCTCCCTCCCTCTCTAGTCTCCAGAATCACATTTAACTCAATGCCTTCTCATCTACACAACAGGAAGACAGTCACTTACCCACTGGCCAGGGTGTCAATCGCCCAGTATTGGTCCATTTCATGCTGACATTTTTTATAAATTCTTCTACAGTTTGCCTCATCTAATTGGTCTCCACAGTCATTGTCCCCATTGCAAAGAAGTCTGCGGTTTATACACCTCCCTGGGGTGGAGAAAGGGTACCATCCACAGTCACACGATTATCAACAAGGGGAACTAGCAGGGCATGAATACCTACTTTGTGCTGGACATTTAGCTGGGCCTTTAATGCTCATCTTGATTAGTCCTGATGTATCAAGGTCAGTTGGTAATGGCACTAGCAGCTTAACCCCCATCCCCATATCCCCCCAGAAGAGGCCAGCACTGTAATTCTGAAAGCATTTTGAGAGGAGATTGTTTGGAAACATTCTACAAGGGCAAGGGTGGGGGGTGTAGAGAGGGAAAGTGTCTGATAACCCAGGGGTGAGATGGCCAGACAGGAGCCATTCTCTCACTGAGCTCCAGAGAGAAGTGGATTTGGTGGGTTCTGCAATTAGTGATTAGCTGCGTCACCTTTTATACATTACCACAGTCACTGTCCCCCCTTGCAAAGAAGTCTGCAGTTTAAACACCTCCCTGTCTCAATTTACTCATCTATAAAGTAGGGAAATCATCATACCTACCCCATAGGGTTGTTAGGGATTTAAATGATAAATAGAACAGCAGTGACTCAGGGTAAGCGCTATGTAAGCGTTATTATCATTACTATTATTAGTGTTTTTGTGAGCCAAGTTCACACTGCTAGTAAATACCTATAGCAGGATTTGAACCTGTTGTTGTTTGTGGCTGTTGAATCTATCCAACTCATGGCAATCTGTAGCAGGATTCAAACCTGTAACTGTTCGATCACCAATTCTCACAAAACCTCACTGCCTTCAACACCATAGCCATATGGCCTGTGAGAAATGATCTGTATCACTTTGGTTCCTTTAAAGGTCCCCCTTCCCCCACTGACCTGACTTCCTTTCTTATTTGTATCTTCTTGGGGGACAAAGCCCGTAAAAAAGGTCTCCCTGTTTCCTTCCATGTGTCCGGTCACTTTTAATCAATGCTTTTAGGGCGTTAAAGGCAGAAGAAAAACAACCTAACAATCTGGTCTTCACATGTTTCTTACAAGGCATTTAAACTAAAGCCTGACCGAATAACCATTATGACTTTGGTCAGAATCACGGAACACTGGCCATAATAGGTTTACAGACACACTGTAAAAAAGGCTCGCAGATTTATGGGATTGAATTTTGCATTACCCCAGGAATTGTTCTAAGAATCTCTAACTCTTTCTTGAAAGATCTAGAAGAACACTCCACATGGGTACAGTCAATCTAGAAAGTTACAACTTGGCATCTAGATAATTTTGGTAAAATACCCTTATTTTTGCCTTAGACTTAGTGAAATAGAAGAATATGTTTGCTTGAATTAGCTAGATGAAGGAGTTGCAAAGACAAGTGTTTACTTAGTTCTGCAGCTAATGATTATTCATTTGTGTGCTCCCTCCCTCCCTCCTTCCCTCTCTTTCCTTCCTTTCTCCCTCCCTCCCTTCCTTCTTCCCTCCTTCCCTTTCTGCCTTCCTCTTCCCTCCTTCCTGCCTTCCTTCCTTCTTTCTTCCTTCCTCCCTTCTTTCTTTTCTTCCTTCCTTCCTTGTTATATCTTCCTTCATTTGTTATAACTCTCACAACACACATTCAGAAATTATTATTATTTCAAAAGGGCTGGTTTGGAACAATCTTATGAAGACACAGCCAGTAAATTACTGCACAAATCACTTTCCAGGAAAGAAGGGTATAAATTGAGGCATTTAAAATGAATTATCATTTTGCCTGGGTTTTCTTTTTTTTCCTTCTAGCATACATAGACGGCTACATTAATTGAATTAATTGTTAACATATGTGGTGTCTAATTAAATTTCAGTGCTGGCCTATGGGGCAATTCTACCCTGTCTTACAGGGTTGCTGTGAGTCGGAATCAACTCAATGGCAATGGGAAAAATAGAAAAGTATGTATACCTAGGAGTGGGACTGCTGGATCATAGATAGGGTAGTTCTATTTCTAGTTTCTTAAGAAAGTGTCATACTGTTTTCCATAGTGGTTGTACCATTTTACAGTCCCACTAGCAATGGATAAGGGTTCCAACTTCCCCACATCCTCGTCAACATTTGTTGTTATTTGTTTTTTTTAAGCTGGGGTCAGATGGTATCTCATTGTAGTTTTGATCTGCATCTCTCTAAAGGGCTAATGATCATGAACATCTTTTCATATGTTTGCTGGCTACTGGGATGTCCTCTTTGGTGAAGGTTCTGTTCATGTCCTTTGCTCATTTCGTGATTGGGTCGTTTGTCTTTTTGTTGTCGAGTTGTTGCAGTTTTCTATAGATTTTAGAGATTAGATCTTAAAAGGATAAGTCATTTCCAAAGATTTTTTCCCCCAGTTTGTAGGCCTATTTACTCTTTTAATAAAGTCTTTTGATGAGCATAAGTTTTTAATTTTTATGAAGTCCCATTTATCTATTTTGTCTTCTTCTATTAGTGAATTTGTTACGTTTGTTGTCCTATTTTTACAAAAGATTAGGTCCCACAGTTTTCTCCCTATGTTTTCCTCCAGGAAAAGGTCCTTGATCCATTTTGAGTTAGTTTTTGTGTATAGTATGAGGTATTGGTCCTGTTTCATTTTTCTGCAGGTGGATATCCAGTTTTGCCAGCAACATTTATTAGAGATTGTTTCTGCCCCACTGAATGGATTTTGACCCCTTGTCAAAAATCAGTTGTCCATAGATGGTTGTGTTTAATTCTGAGTTATCATTTCTATTCCACTGGTCTATGTGTGTATCGTTGAACCAATACCAGGCCATTTTGATTACAGTTGCTGTATAGTATGTATCAATATCAGGGAGTGTGAGGCCTCCTACTTTGTTTTTTTGTTTCGTTTTGTTTTTTCTTCAATATTACTTTGGCTATTTAGGGTTTCTTTCCTTTCCATACAAAGTTGGTCATTCATTTTTCCATTTCAGGAAAGAATGTTGTTGGGATTTATATTGGGATTGCATTGTATCTGTACATCGCTTTAGCTAGAATTGACATTTTCACTATATTAAGCCTTCTAATCCATGAGCACAGGATGTCTTTCCATTTTTATGGGTCTCTTGTAGTAATGTTTTATAATTTTCATTGTATAAGTCTTTTATGTCCCTAGTTAGGTTAATTCTTAGATATTTTATCGATTTGGGGGTATTGTAAATGGTATCGTTTTCTTGGTTTCTTTTTCAGAGTACTCATTGTTAGTGTAGAAGAACCCAACTGATTTTTGTGTGTTGATCTTGTACCCTGTAACATTGCTAAATTCTTCCAACAGTTCTAGCAGTTTTCTTGTGGAATCTTCAGAGTCTTCTATGTATAGGATCATGTCATCTGCAAACAGAGATAGTTTTACTTCTTCTTTTCTGATTTCGATGCTTTTTATTTCTTTCTTGTCTTATTGCTCTGGCTAGGACTTCTAATACAATGTTGAATAAGAGCGGTGATAATGAGCATCCTAGTCTCATTCCCATTCTCAAAGGGAAGGCTCTATGGAATATAATGTTGGTTGTTGGTTTTGCATATATGCCCCTAATTATGTTGATAAATTTTCCCTCTATTTCTATTTTGCTAAGAGTTTTTATCAGGAAATGGTGTTGAATTTTATCTAATGCCTTTTCCACAACAATTGATTTGATTATAAGGTTCTTTTCCTTTGTTTTATTTATGTGGTGGATTACACTGATTGATTTTCTAATGTTGAACTACCCTCATAATCCTGGTATGAATCCCACTTAATCATGGTGTATGATTTTTTGATATGTTGCTGAAGTCTGCTGGCTAGAATTTTGTTGAAAATGTTTGCATCTATGTTCATAACGGATATTGGTCTGTTATTTTCTTTTCCGTGTTGTCTTTGCCTGGTTTAGGTATCAGGATTATACTGGTTTCATAGAAAGAGTTCAGAAGTGTTCATTCCTCTTCTATGTTTTTAAAGAGATTGAGTACGATTGGTGTCAGTTCTTCTCTGAATGTTTGGTAGAATTCTCCAGTGTAGCCCTCTGGTCCTGGGCTTTGTGTGTGTGTGTGTGTGTGTGTGTGTGTGTGTGTGTGTGTGTGTTGGCAGTTTTTTGATGACACCTTCAACCTGTTTTTGTAATGAGTCTGCTTAAATTTTCTACCTCTGCTTGTGTTATTTTAGGTAGGTAGTGTGTTTCCAAGAATTTGTCCATTTCATCTAGGTTTTCAAATTTGCTGGTTTACAATTTATCATCGTAATCTGTTACGATCTTTTTTAATCTATGTTGGATTGGTTGTAATATCATCAATTTCATTTCTTAATTGGGTTATTTACCTCTTCTGGTTTTTTTTCTTTTGTCAATATATACAGTGGTTTGTCTATTTTATTGATTGTTTCAAAGAAACAACTTCTGATTTTGGTGATTCTTTCTATTGTTTTTCTATTTTCTATTTCATTTATTTCTGCCCTGATCTTTATTATTTCCTTTTTTGTGGTAGATTTGGCTTCTTTTGTTCTTTGTTTTCTATTTGTTCAAGTTGTCAGTTTAAGTTAATGATTTTGGATCTTTCTTCTTTTTTAATGTAGGTATTTATTGCTATGAATTTCCCTCTGAGTATTGCTTTTGCTGTGTCCCAAGGCAATTTGATATGTTGTGCTTTCATTTTCATTTGATTCAAGGAATTTTTTTAATTTCAATTTTTTATTTCTTCTGTGACCCAATAGGTTTTTAGTAGTATATTATTTAGTTTCCATATATTTATTTTTCTCCTTATTTTTCCTATTGTTTATTTCTAGTTTCATACTCTTATGGTCAGAAAAGATGCTTTGTATGATTCAATCTTTTAAAATTTGTTGAGATTTGTTTTGTGTCCTAGCATATGATCTACTCTGGAAAATGATCTATGTGCACTGGAGAAGAATGTGTATTGTTCTGATGCTGGGTGGATTGTTCTATATATGTCCATTAGGTCCAACTGACTTGTGGTTTTATTTAAGTCCTCAGTGTCCTTAGTGATCTTCTTTTTAGATGTTCCGTCTATAATTGAAAGTGATGTGTTGAAGTCTCCTTAATCAATATTTGTTTTCTGTATTTTGGAGCATTGCTGTTATGTGCATATATATCTATAATTGTTATGTCTTCTTGATGGATTGATCCTTTTAATATTATGTAATGTCATTCTTTATCTCTTGTAATAGATTTTGATTCAAAGTCTATTTTATCTGATATCAGTATGGTCACCCTTGCTGTTTTTTGTTTACTGGTTACATGAAATATTTTTCTCCATCCTTTTATTTTCAGTCTGTTTTTGTCCTTATGTCTAAGGTGTGTTTCTTGTAGGCAGTTAAAAGGATGGATCATGCTTTTTTTATCCTTTCTGCCACTCTCTGCCTTTTGCATGGGGCATTTAGACCATTTACATTAAGGTTATTACTTAAAATGAAGTGTCTACCTCACTCATTTTACTATTTGTTTTTTGAGTGTTTCGTATCTTCTTTGTTTTTTTATTCTGATTTTTTCTGTTTTTGTTTGCATTTGGCTGCTCTCTTGTGATGAGTCTTTTTGCTTTCTTCCTTCTTTTCTTCTGAATGTTTTCTCCTTGGTGATTTCTTAGTGGTCACCACATATATTACATTACATAACTTACAATTGCAACAACGTTTAACATATGAACAATGGTTAACATATGACCTTAACATAATAAATCTATTCCTGATATACTCCTTCCTCCACCATCACTGTTGATGTGTCTCCATTAACATCTGTATACAACCTATATTCAATAAGTTTACTTTGTACTTATTTCTTACAAACTTGATGTTGTATTGTTCGTGGGATTTAATTATTGAGTTTACTCCCTGAATATATCATATACGTCGTCCTTATGATTGCCTGTGTTGTTGCATTTTTTGGAGATCTCTCCCTTATTTTTTATTTTTTTACTTATTTTTCCAGTGTATAGATACGAGTATTTATTTCATAATCTTGCCTTTCCACTTGGAGTACTCCCTTGAGTAATAGTTGCAATGCTGGTCTAGTAGTGACAAATTCCCAGGGCTTCTGTTTGTTTGGGAATGTCTTGATTTCTCTCTTGAATGACAGCTTTGCTGGGTAAAGAATTCTTGGTTGGAAATTGTTTTCATTCAGTATATATGTCACTGTATTGTCTTCTGGCTCTAAAGTTTCTTGGAAGAAATCCACATTTATTCCTATGAAAGACTCTTGGTATGCTATATTGCGTTTTTCTCTTGTTGCTTTCAGAATAATCTCATCTTTGGTTTTCAGGAATTTTATTAGCGTATGGTGCAGAGTTGATTTTTGTGTGTGTTTCTTCTAATTTGGGTTCACGTAGCTTCCTGTATTTGCAGGCTTGGTTCTCTATTCAGGACTGGGGAATGCTCTCTGATTACTTCTGGAAAATTGTCTCTATGACTTTATCATTGTCATGGTGCTCTGGAGTTCCAGTAATTCTAATGTCAGCTTTCTCAGTTGAATCCCATATTTCCATTTGAGTTTTTTTCTCTCTTTGTTCCTTTCTCTTGAGACTCAGTAAGTTCAGTTATTTTGTCTTCTAGTTCATTTATTCTATCTTCTGTATGTTCAACTCTATTGTTGAGTGTTTCTCTTACTTTTTCTAATTCAGTTGCTTTATTCTTTGGTTCCAGTAGTTCTCTTTGTTTTGCTTTTGTTTATTTATGGTTTCAATTTCCTTGTTGAGGCTCTCATTTTGTTCTTCCATTTGTTTCCTCATCTCTACTAGCTTGTTTTTTGTGTTATTTTTGCTTTCTTTAAACATGTTTAGCACCATAGCCTGAAATTTTCAATTTGTTCTGTTAGTCTGGCTTCCACAGGAGAAATTTTCTCTTCATGTTTTGGTTTCTATTGGTCCCTCTTCTCTTGTGATTTTGTGCATTTTACTATTTTTTGTTGAAATTGGGCCAATTTGCTATCTTTTTTTTACCTTAAATTTTGTATTGGTGGTGCAGCAGTCAAGTGCCCATCTGCCAACCAAAAGGCTGGGGCATGCACCTACCAGCCACTCCACAAGAGAAAGATGTGGTAGCATGCATCCATAAAGGCTCATAGCCTTGGAAAACCCATGAGGCAGCTCCACTCCACCACACAGTGACTCCATGAGTAAGATTTAGCCCAGTGGCAGTGGGCCTGGTATCTTCTCCTGAGAACCATGGGAGGACACTTTTATCCTTAGCTTTTTTTTCAGTGCTGATTTAGGTGTTCTGGATGCTTGATCTCTGGAGTTCAATATGCATGCATGGGGATGGGGGTTTAGCTGGTCACAGACACTGACGTAATTGGTGGGACTCAACTTTTCTGTGTCAAAGGTGGGGGGCTCTCTATGTCTTTCCCTCATGGGTGCCCCTGAACAGGCTCTCCTACAGTGTCCCTCTACAGGCAGGGAGCCAGCCATTTCCCTCTGTGTTGCCTGTCCATCCAAAGTATTCCCTTCACCCTGCTGCCCTTGCAGTTCCTCTCAGTACTAGTGCCCATCGATCTCAGGCCTCAGTGAGATTCAAAAGCACTCTCTTGCGGCGTCACAGTCTTCCTTTATCTCCTCCCAATCATGTAGCCCATGAACTCCCATAGTCAGTCTGTGCCACATTAAAAAATTGGGCTACAGCTTTCTCAGATTAGCTCCCTTTCTGTGTTCCCTTTTGGGGTGTTGCCCAGCCCCATCCCCACTTGGCTGCGATGAGCGAATGTGCCAGATGTTAGCAGTTAGGTTCTTCCAGCTCCTGTGCCATCCCTGCTCATCTCTCCCCTGTTTCTGGACTCACCCTGACTCTCTAACACCTCAGCTGTTGTCTGGAGTTCTGAAGTCTCAGTCTGTGCTTGTTTTTATTCATTGTTCAGTGGTTTAGTAGCTGGGGGAATAAATGGGAGCATCCACTCACTTTGCCATCTTACTCCACCCTCCATCTTGTAAGATCTTAACATCACCCCCAATTTTCTACTGAGGGAACCAAAATGCAGAAAATTTAAGTGACTTACCATAGGTCACAAAGTCAAAATAAGACCTGATTCAGGATGTCTGATTCTAGCAAACATAATTTTGGTTTCCTTTATGTCAATGAACTAAGTTTGAATTCCAAAATTTCTAATTGCAGTTCTTCTCCTTACCTGATGTATGATCTTGGGCAAGGAACCTCCTCAAGTTCCAATATCTTAATTTTTAAAGTGGGGAAAATAATAACATCTACAAAGAATTTTCATATTCATTGTGTCATTTGATGCATATAACAGACTTGTAAGATATTAACATCACCCTCAATTTTCTGTTGAGGGAATCAAAATGCAGAAACAACTTCTTTGTGGGTTGTTTCCGTGAAACAGTATGTATAAAAGGAGGTCAGAAATTTGAGGACAAGGAGGCCTCCTGCATTTCCCAGAACCCTCATCTTAAGCACTAGGCATCTGCCATTGCCTCCTAAGAAAGCTTTCCCCTCCCATACTTTTGTCCCTCTATACCTGTGTGTGCACACAAAAAGCCTTCACATCGCGTTTGACTTCGGCATGGTCTGCTGGTAACACAGTCTTCTGTTTCCTTGTCAGAGAAGCTGCATGGTTCCCCATGAAACTGAGATGGCCGGAGCAAGTAGGAGTGTCTGTACTGTAGCAGAGAAGAGCAAGGTGAACCAAGGGCATCAAGACAGAAAGTAAAGACAGAGGAAGCCTATTATGGTGGGCAGAATAATGCACCCCCCCCCCAAGATGTCAATGATTTCAACGTCCTAATCCCAGAATCTGTGAATATTTTCCTTACATGGCAAAACGGACTTCACAGATGTGATTAAATTAAGGATCTTGAGATGGGGAGCTTATCCTGGATTATCCAAATTGGGGGACCATAGGGACCATCAGAGCTGAGGATACTGTACACAAATGGATCCCTGGGCTAGGATTTGAATTTCAAGCAGAGCATTGTATTGTCTGATCTCTACTCGCCCAGCTTCTCATGTTTCTCCTATTACATACACCTAACAATCTGTTATGATTGGCTGTTTTCCTGACCTTTTTCAACTAGAGTATAACCACTCTGAGGGCAAGGACTCTGTCTTTGATCTCTCTGTATCTATACTGATCTGTAAAGATTTGCTCAATGTGAAAAAAGCATAGAATTTTGAGTCAAAAGTTGGTGGGTGCTTTCATGTAGCCCTTTCCATAATAAAATAATCTCTCAGCTTGATTATTCCAATGAGTTGATTCAAGTATTCTCATTTACCCCTTAAGACAATCAGTATATTATAAGTGAAAAAGCATGTGCTTTGGGGCCACAACTGACTCTGACACTTCCTAGTTATGTGATATTAGGCAAGTTACTTAACTTTTTGAATCTCAATTTACTCATCTGGAAAATGGGGACAATGAATTACCTAAATGTACAGTTATGGAGATTAAATGAGACATATATAAAGAATTCAGAATTTCATTGGGTTACATAGTAGGCACTCAATTTCTTGTACTTATCTTTCTTCTTATTATTAATGTTCTAGTACTCAATATTACTATATCTCTACCTTTTGCTCACTTATTCTAAAAATATTGATCAAGTGTGCTGGGCACTGCCACTCAATGTTGAAAAAGGTAGGTGTTAGTTTTACTTGTTTGTTTATTTTTAACCGTAATCAGGCCCTCCAGCCTTCCTCAAGGAGGTCACAGACGGTGGCAGTAGTGGGGAGTACCAGGTGATCACAGCACAGTGTCATGATGCCATGGTCAAGAGGGAGTACAGAGTGGTCTGTAAGCTCATAGGGCAATCCCTGATGCAAACTCAGGCGATGGAGGAAAGCTTCTGGAAGAAGTGACATGTAAGCTGAGACCCTAAGATGAACAGGAGTGTCAGGCAAACATGGAGAGCTGGTATGAGGAGGGTAGAGAAGAGCAATCGGGTGGAGAAGACTGCTGAGCCAAAGTAGAGAGACTACAGAGAATGTGCCTTGCTTAAGAAAACTAGAAGAAATTCATAATGGCTGGAAGGAGAAGTGCAAGAGGGAGAGTGGCAAGAGCTGGATGGACACATCAACAGGAACAGGTAATACAGGGCCCTCCAGACATCTGTAAGGTCCAATTTGGTATTTTATCTGGTGGCTAGGAGAAGCCACTAAAGGGTTTTAAGCAGAGAAGTGATCAGATTTAGGTGGTTTCCAAATGCTAGTTGCAGTCAAGATTTTGATGCACCAAAGGGACAAACTAGGACAGTAGCCCTTTTGCAAGATGACACATTAACAAGCAGGGATGGATTGCTCAGTAAGCAAGCTACACACAGACTTATTTGTGCTTACTTACTAAACTGTATTACACAATTTCACCTGTTGCGGTAAAACCCACGTGAAATTGTGCACTACAGACTAGTAAGTAAACACAACATGGGTTTCACCACAACAGGTGAAATTATGTACTACAGATTAGTAAGTAAGCACACCTAAGCCTGTGTGTACCTTGCTTACTGTTAGCTCATGAGTACTGTGCTTACTGGTTTATCTACTCCTGTTAACAAGGTATGGTTATTACTGGTATGGCATCTGCACTCGTGGCTTTGAAAATCCAAAAAAGAAAGATAAATAACCATTCATCCATGCTCCTTTGTACTTCCAAAGGGTCTTTCTTCCTGGATGGCAGAGTCTGGCAGGACAGGGATAAAGTCTTCAAAAAAAACTGCTAGAAGCTTAGCCCCAGGCTCCGAAGACAAACTGGGTTTGAGGAGTGTAAAAAGGATAAGGAAATACATCTCCAAATCCGAGTTTAAAGGCTTTGCTGAACCCCCAGCCATCAACCCTGAAGACAGCAATGATGTCCAGCTGATGTCTACAGCAAGATCAGTGAAGAGGGATGTCTGGCTGACTGGCTGGATGACTCATGCTGAGTCTTCCTGATTTATGGTGCAGATGAAGCAATTATCCAGATAATTGGATCAATGTTGATAACTTCAGCAATAAAGCCTACTTTGGGAACTGAATAATCCTGCTTGGCTCTCCACATAGATCCAGTTAACTGTGTAACTGTCCTGGGCCTACTTCCACAGCCTTTTTAGAGTCCTAGCCTAGGGCTGGGTTGGTTTCTCAAGAAGCTGGAGAAATGGCAACCATTCTCTTTTATCTGACATCTGTTGTTCTCAGAGCTGGGATCCTGGGTCAGCCTTCTTAGACAAGAAAGCCTGAAGAAAAAAAAAAATAGCAGAAACTGCATGTTTTTTATTGATAGAAAACTAGAAAGGAGCCCGTGGGTCTATCAATAAAAAGGACGCAGTTTCTGGAGTCTTGGTTTACCCATCTGCCTAATGGAAATTGTAACAACTATGCTGAGTGCCTTATAGAGATGTCCTAAAAACACAATGAAATAAAACAACAGATTTTTATGGAGCATCTACTACTGGCCTACACACTGAAGATACAGAATTGAACACACTTCAAGAGCTCACTGTTTAGTATTAAAGGTAAATAATAAAGAGTATAGTATGATAAATGGTAGCCTACAAGGGCAATAGGGAGCTATTGTAACTCATGAAAGGGTGCCTTATCTAACTGGAGCTGGGGTTGAAGAGAAGTCAAGGAAGGCTTCTCAACAGAAATGGTCCCCGAGTAGAGTTTCAAAATATGAGTAGGTGTTATCCAGGTGAGGGAAGTAGGAAAGATCACTTCCGCCTAAGAAAGCAGCAGGTATAAAAGTCCCAAGGTGACAGAGAGAGTGAAATGATCAAAGAAATGCAAATGATAAGTATGGCTGCAGTGGGAGATGTTTTATGGAGATACAGGCCAGGTCTAGGTCATGGGGGGCCTTGAATACCATGAGTCTAGACTTGACCCTATGGGGCATGGTAGATCGAATGGTTTCAAGCTGGGGAAAGACAGGTCAGATTTGATTTTTTGATAGCTCCCCCTGGTTGTAGCAGGAAAGATGGGTTGAAAGAGCAAAGTTGGGAGTCAGGAAGCCTAATTAGGGAGGTTGCTAGAGTGAGCAAAAATAGAAGCGCTTTGGAAAAAACCTGAAGGGCCAAAGGATCTAATTGCTACCAGGAAGCACAGAGACAAATGATTCACTGATTAAAACAACCAACATTTATCAAGGGCCTACTATGTACCAGGTGCTACAGGTAATGTTTCAGCCAATCTTGCTGAGGATCAGGGCTCCTGGAAGCTTAGTGCTTAGAGCCTGGGTACTTACCCTTTTCTTCTGGCAGGAATCACATGTGGTCCAGGAGGACCAGCTGGACAGTTCACAATCAATAGGCATCAGGGGGACATCCACACTGCGTGCCTGTCTGCTCTTGGCAAGGCTCTCATTGACTGCATTTGACTCAAGGGAATGTAGCCTTTCACCTCTACAAAGGCATTATGAGAGAAGAGAGTCAAGTATCAGAAATGAATTACGTATACAGCCAACCATCTATCCATCCATTCAATAAACATACGTTTGCTCACTTATGCAAGGCTATTAGCTTCTCATTCAATATTGGTTAATTCATCCAACAAATATTTATTGAATACCCAGAAAGCGCCTAACATTATGGCTAGCTGTGATCAAAAGGCTATTAAATACAGATCAGAAGACAGCCCACTAGCAGCTGAGTGATCTTGGTCTGGTTTTTCAACCTCTATAAGCTTCACTTTTCTCACCTGTATAATGGGGATAATCATACCTACCTCATAAGGCTATTCCTAGGATTATATAAGACAGTATATGTGAAAGCACTTTATAAACCCTAAAGACATGTAGGGAATATAACGATAGCTAGCTGTACAATCCTATGTAATTCATTCTCTGGCCCATCTCTGGGCCTTTGTTTTAGCTCCTGGAAAATGAGAGGCCTGAATTAGGTGGCTTTTAAGGTATCTTCTTATGTTAAGTGTCCATGAAATATTTTCTGAGAACAAAGTGTATTCAAGGTTCTGTGCTACAGAGGATACAGAGAAATGTAAGACACAGGTTCTGATTTCTGGAACTCACAGTTTGTCTTATAGTAGGAAAAGAGAAACATGTCTCAAGTTTTAGTTCTATGGGAGCTTTATCGAATAGACAAGGTTTTTAAGCATGCAGGCTCCATGGCCAGAGTTGTACATTAGGAGGTCACCAGCTGTGGTGTGGAGGCCGGATGGTAAATTTGTTTGCAGGAATATGGTTTCGCAAATCTGAGACTACTTTATATGTATACTGCTGTACATTGTTGTTGTTAGTTGCCATCTGACTCATGGAGACCCCATATTTGTCAGAGTAGGACTGTTTCATAGCATCTTCAAGGCTGTGACCTTTCAGAAGTACATCTCCAGGCCCGTCTTCTGAGGCATCTCTGGGTGAGTTCGAACCACTGCCCTTTTGGCTAGTAGTTGAGCACTTAACTGTTGGCGCCACCCAGTGACTCCATTGGAGAGAGCCTAGAGGCAGGGAAAGCAGACAGGAGGCTCCTGCAGGACCAATGAGCAACGTGAACCTGAACTAAAGCAGTGGCCAGGAGAGGGAGAATAGGGACGACAGACTTAGGAGGCATTTCTCAGATGAAATTGATAGAAAGTGATGGGTAATTGGATGGGGGTGAGTTAGAGAGAAAAAGGAGTTTAGGTTGATGCAATTTCCAGTTTGAGGGTATGGGTGGATGGGGAACTTGGGAGGAAAAGAGAAGGTTTGTTGGGGAAGGTGTGAGTTTTGGTTGGGATATGCTGTGTTCTAGGTTTCCATGGAACACCTATGTAGAGTTATTCATTTAGTAAGTAGTTGAGAGTAAGAGAGAGGTTTGTACTGGAGATACAGATCTGATCATCAAACGTTCTGGGAGAGGATGAGACTATTCTTAAGAGGAGAAGCAGGTCAAGGATAAGCCCTCGGGGAACATCAGCATCACCAGCAGACCAGGAAACACTGGTACCACACCACTTCAGGGCAGGCAGCATCTTCAGAGCAGGGAGAGCTTCAAATCGGGTCTTTTCAGTTCCAACCTCTCTGATAATTTGCATTTCTAACAAGTTGCCTGCTGAGAATTGGCATTTCTTACAAGTTCCCAGGAAGTTATATATAAGAATCACCTGGGGATCTTGTTAAACTGTAGATTCTGATTCAGTATATCTGAGGTGGAAATGCACATTCTCAGCAGGGAACTTGTTAGAAATGCAAATTCTCAGCAGAGGTTCAAAATGAAATGAACTGGTTCAAAGCCCTGCTTTTGAGGTGAGTGAGGGTGAGCCCTGTGGGTAGTGAAGGGGCAGAGCGGTCAAGCAACATGAGACCTGATATATGTCAAGAAAAGGCAATGCTTTTTGTTGGGTTCTGGGCACACAGTGGGACAGTCAATTAAAAAAAAAAAGTGAATTAATGAACATGTTATTTACTCTGTCTAGGCTTCCAGTTTTGCTATCTACAATATGGTGGTTGTAATATTATTTTTAATTTTTCTTCCATTTGAAAGAATGTATGATTCTGTAAGATTTGTAATTTGTGTTCATTTTCAAGCCAAGAAAGAAGAGAGCAAAAACTAAGATTTGCTGAGCACCTATGAATGGGTCAAGCATTGCGCTAGGTGTTTTTCCCCATGCTATCTCATTTAATCCTCACAGTAATGCTAGAAGGCAGCTCTGTAGCATTGCCACTTTCACTGATGAGGTAACTGACCAAGAGAGGCAGTGACCTGTCCATTGTCATGCAGGTGGTATGCGGTAGTGTTGGGATCTGAGTTGATGTCTGTTTGATTCTAGAACCTGTGCTTTGTCCATTGCCTCATGCTGCCTGGAAGGGGACCAGGCGGGTATCAACTCTACAATCCCTTCAGGGATCTAGGTAAGACCTGTTTCATCCCTGTTTCCAAAACTGAGTCATTAGGGAGAGCATCACAGAGTTTTCACTGTCTCAAACATATAGTATGTCACTCCAGACAAGGTCATTAACAATACATTCTCACTTGGCAAAAGTCCTAAAAAGAGGATAATATCAACTACAGTGAAACCTATCTCCATGACCGCCCCAGAGACCAGCAAAAATCAATTGCCTAGTAAGGTTGGCTCTTTAACTAAAGATCAAAGACGCTACAGGAAACCACAGGTGGATACTTTGAAACAGTTACTTGAGACAGGAGGCTGCACACCAATGGGGGGGGGGCGGGAGGGGGGCTTCAGAATGTGCTCTTACCTACTAATTTGCCCAGGTTTGACAAAACAATATTGTCTGTGATTTGGCTTCTCCTAAGTATGCATTTGACAGCTCTGCAGGATACCCCCTTCCTACTTCAACTACAAAACAGTTACATTGTGTTTTTAGCAGCTATCAAGGCAACTCAGGGGCAGCAGTTGGAACTGAGTGGGTAAGTAACATGCACGCGCACTATTGAGAGTCACAATTATTGTCGTCTCTGAGATTTGAAAACCTGTGAATGGGTAAAATGATTACTTACAGAAGGAACTTGGTGGAAGTAGTTATAATCACCAGAGTTCTCATTTTTGCACGAATTTTCATTATAGAGGGACAATATAATGGGGACAATATAACGAAGTAATCAGCTGAATAAATTGTATGTTTGTAAATTACATTGGATAAGATGTGTGCGTAAATTTAAAAGAAACGTTAGTATTAAGTCGCATCTTTAATTCCTTAGTAGAGCTTAAAAACCAAAATAAAAACTAGTTACATCAGGACCTCTGTGTATGGTTACAACACACGCCTTTCACTGCTATGAAATTGTATGGAAACAAACCAGATGGACGTTTTGATCTACTCAGTTGACTACTCTCATTTAAAGTCCTGCATGTTTTTAGTTGAAAAACTAAACATGTCTGTAGAAGTATAGACAATAAAACAGTAAACGCACCCACGTACTCACCACCCTAGACTGGCAATTGCTAACATTTTTGACATACGTGCTTCAAGTCTTATTTTTTTTAATAATAAAAAATAATTCCCTACAAATTTGACATCTTTGATTTACGCCAGCCCCAGTTGCTTTCCCTCCCCTCCTCTTCAGAAGGAAGTATCGTCAAGAATTTTGCATGTATCCTTCCTGTCTCTTTTACCATATTTTTACATATGTTTATAGATACACAGTGTACAGAATCGCTTTGTGTGTTCTTTACTCATACAGGGCAAATCATTCTGCAACTTGGTTTTGTCAATCAGCATTGTGTTTCTGAGTGCCATCTATGCTGATACGCTAAGAGATCTAGTTTGTTGCTTTTATCTGAATGTTCCATCATAGGAAATATATTACATTTATTCTTTTTCTTTTTGAAGACATTTATATTTTTCCAATGTTTTGCAATTGCAAATAATTCTACAATAAACACCCTTCTGTAAATCCTTGGAACATGTGCTCCTTCTGCTTAAGGACTGGCCAGGATGCACCTTTCTTTGGGGTGCAGGAAATGCTGTTGCAAGCACTAGGACATATTTCACTGGGCCCGCATCTCCCACTCTTTCTAATGGGTGTCTCTGATCAAAATAAAGATGGATCCATCACTCGGCAGGATTAGGTCAGCAGTAAATTGCGAGCCATCAGCGTATATAGACGGTGTGTGTCAATGTATTTTGGCTTTCTGTAGAAATGCCCTGACACAACAACTTTCTTGTCACACACAATTTGTTAGGCAGCTGCATTGCCTTTGCAAATAGCATCCTTCCTCTTTGCTAGAAGGGGCAGCTTCTCGGTGGCAGGTTTTCAATTTCTCTTCTCTCTGTCATTTGCTGTTGTAGACATGAAATTTAAAGCAACGTCTCAAGGCAACAAATGTGTGGCCCAGAGATAGAGAAATGGCTCGGGAGTCCAGCAAGTCAGATACACAAAGCAGGTGGAGAGGGGATAATGCATTTGTGAGAGGCAGAAAGATGCAGGGAGAATGAGGGGGTCTGGAACCAGAATTAAAAATGGATTTGAATCCATAGTCTGAATATTTTGAAAATGTGAATAATCCATTTTTTGAATCCATATTCTGCCACGTGTTAACTGAGTTGTCTTGGGATATTATCTCTCCCAACCTCAGTTTCCCTCTTTGTAAAACTGGAAATAATGTTCTTGACCTCAAATGGCTGTGAGGATTAGCGCTAATATATTTAAATGCCTAGTTCAGGGTGGCTATCAATAAGTGAGAGCTCTTATCACAATGTGAGGATTATTTCATCAGACTTCATTACAACAGTAAACAAAAACGAAATCTTCCTTAGTTAATATTAAGGCGGTTTCAGCATGATCCATTCTAGAATTGAAGACTATTCTTCCACTTCGTGGAGGGAATTCAAATGTAGCCACGTTCAGCGCTGCCCCATGAGAATCATGGGTAGAGGCGAGGGCACTAGATCTGGATTCAGGTGAGGGTTTGAATCTCAGGTCTTAGTAAACACCAGTGAATCTCTTCCCCTTTCACGCACCAGTTTGCTCTTCTACACAGTGAGAATAAGAGATAATACTCCCTCATGACGTTGTTGTGAGGATGAAACAGGTTTCCCCACCTACACTCCACTCACCCATTCACACTTCCACTTCCAACCTCAGAGTGAACTTCCTAACATATAAATCTGATCATGTTGCTCCTTTGCTTACAATCCTTCAATGGCTCCCCTTTGCCTACAGGATAAATAAAGCTCAAGTTCCTTATCTGGCATGCTATATATCAGTGGCCGTAGAGTCGATTCTGACTGATGGCGACTCCACGTGTGTCAGAGTAGAACTGTGCTCCATGGGGTTTTCAATGGCTGATTTTTGGAAGTAGATCACCAGGCCTTTCTTCCGAGAAGCCTTTGGGTAGACTCAAACTGCCAACATTTTGGTTAGCAGCAAAGCATGTTAACTCTTTGCACCACCCAAGAACTCTAGCTGGTACACTAGTGACCCCCAGCTCTGCCTATCATCTGACTCCTGCTTACTCTAACTCCATCTCATCCCTTGTAGCTCCCCACCTTTGGCCTATGCTCAAGGCTCACTCGTGTGTACTTGAAGCTTCAGGAACAAGTCTGGCTCTTTCACACTTCCATATCTTTGCTAGTGCTGCTCCCTCTGCCTGAACACCCTTTACCACCTTTGTCATTTGCCAAACACCTACTTATATGTAAAGGTTCAGCTCAAGCATGATCTCTTCTAGAAGGCTTTCTGGACCTCATCCCTAGTAGAACTGACCACTCCCTTCTTGTTTCCCCCCTGGCCCCGCACCATCTCTTGCAACAGTACACACAGTATATGTTCACATGTTGGCTTTCTTAACCGGAACATGAGCTCCTTGGATCTTACTCAATTCTGCAGCCTCAGGAAGGGGCTTTGCACAGGGGCACAATGCTGCAGGTAGGATTGCTATGGTTCTCTTAAATTCTCAATTCCAGATAAATTTCTTTGGGTCCTGAATGCCTCTGTGTGTATACATAGTACACACAAGGAAGGTCTTGGCAACTTAGTTATTCTCGGGGCCAAGTTAGGAGTCTTTAAAATCATGATAAAAAACAGAACACAATCATTGCCATCAAGTTGATTCTAACTCATAGCAACCCTATCGGACAGAGTAGAACCACCCTGCAAGGTTTCCAAGAAGCGGCAGGTGGATTTGAACTGCTGACCTTTTGGTTAGCAGCCGTAGTTCTTAACTACTGCGCCGTAATCATGACACCCCCCCCAAAAAAAAATCAAACCTGTTGCTGTCAAGTCAGTTCCAACTCATAGCAACCCTATACAACAGAGTAGAACTGTCCCATAGGGTTTCCAAGGAGCGGCTGGTAGATTAGAGCTGTTGACGTTTTGGTTAGCAGCTGAGCTCTTAACTATAGCTATTATTTATTAAGTGCCATTGGGTAGTGATTACTCATCGCCCTGGTTCCAGGGGTGGCACCCAGTGGGAACTGAGTACTCATCAGAGCTGAGAACAGAGGGGTGTCGTATGGGTACTCCCTGCACTAAGTGTGAATGTTGTGCTCAGACAGCACTTACAGACTGAATAACAGAATGGCAATAACACTCCCTTTTCCCACAGGACCATTCACAAGGAGGCCCAGGAGGCCTGAAGGACTTCAACATCTCATGGTAGGGCTGTCTCGGGCACAAGGAGGTCCCCAGATGGCCAAGTCACTGGTGCTTCTTTCACTGGAGCTCAAGTTTGAGTTTTCACTCAGGTATTTTCTTTAGCCTATTTCATAGCCTATTAATAAAACCAAACCAAACCCATTGCTGTCGAGTTGATTCCAATTCATAGTGACCCTATAGAACAGAGCAGA